GATTTGAGATAACGCAATGACGTCCAGGATAATGGCGACGACCATAATATGACGATGACTCATAACATTATTTCATCTACAGTTATAATTATTACATCTACAGATATTTTTGTAATATCTACGTGTTATCACTTGATTCGGTAATGGAAGGATGTTTCAAGTGAATATTGTCTCGTTAATGTCATAGTTATGTAATATAATGTATTGTAATGTAAACCATCAATGATTTGTTTTGAAGTACTTGATCTCTGTAACTACTCTGATTATGACACATTTCAATAAACGTATCTGCATCAGAATCTTTTTTATGTATTTCCTTCGGCAATGTAATCTTGCCCTGCGTGTCTTACCAACAATGACCAATTCAGTTGACGCTTAACTGTAAAGATGAAGTTTACGAGAAATATTTGACGTGTTCTCGTAGAGTTTTGTCCAAAACCCTGTCATTTATTATTGAAGTAAGATGGAAGACCAAATGGAAATAATTGTTCAACATTGAATGACTATTACATTGCGCAGTGTTGATTGTTGCGCATCAAATTCTGCATAAGGATTTTTTTTAATTGTGCCATGGAAGACAATATTTGGCAGTTAGTTCTCTTCAATTACTTCAGAAATTATTAGTTAACGCAAAGGGGGCGATAAATAAAAATAGGGGTAAATAAACAACGACCATATTTTAAAGCTGAAAGAGATGAGAGAAAACAAATATTCTGAAGCTCGTGTAGGTTTCGCCTTACGTTCGGCACTGCGTGATTGTCAAAAAATAATAAAAATACTTCGAGTAAGGATGTACACCTAAAAAGACCAACTGTCCCAGAAGTACGTGAGCGAAATCCAAATCCCGCCCACATTTTAGACAGAGTCGGAGTGTGCTCGTCAACCCAGGAATCGTGCCCATAAACTACGTACTTCCTCCCGCGTCTCCTACCCTCAACGACTCGACGTCCTCGCGCGAACTTCTTGGTTCAAATCGCCACCTAGCGCAGTGACATAGTCCTGTGATGTGAGGACTGGACTGGACGGGGCGGGGCGGGCCGAGACGGGACGGGACGGAGCGGGGTGGAGCAAGGAGGAGCGGGGCGGAGCGCGGCGGGGCCGAGCTGGGCGGAGCGCGGCGGACCTGAGCGGAGCGGGGCGGGGC